TGAGTATACATCATATTCCGGGAGGAGGTTGCGCACGAGATGTCTGTTAGCATCATCCTCTGTCATCGTCACGCCGCATGACGATAATCTTTGCCGTAGCACCCACCCTCTCGACAGGTACTCTTTCGGATGTTGGTCTACCTTCTGCGCCAACTCCTGCCACTCTAGCTGGAGGCTAGTTTTTTCTGTTTGTACGTGCACTTGAAAATGTTTTCTGAATATCCCCCATGATTCCGTGGGGCAACCACTAGAGAAAATGGCTGGAACGATCGATGCAATCTGAATCTTCGCCAGTATTAACTGCCAGGCCTTCATGACCTTCTCTACGGCCTTCCTACCATACTCCTCCTTCAGTTTGGGAATGTCTGCATCCCATTTCCCCACCCTGATCGTCTCTTCTGATAGTATCGCGCTCTCAGGCAGTCTTCTTGTTGCAACAAAATCCGAAATTGGCTCTCAAAAACCTGTACTCTAACCTGAACGTCGCCACGAGAATCGAACACACCCGTAAATGGGGCTACATGTATCACAGGACTAACACGGATGGCGTCCTTAGGGGCTAAGACTTCCTCCCTGGTTTCCTCCCCCGGGGTGTTGGTCCTTCGCATTGCCCGAGCGAATGAATCAACGAGACGGTCCTCCAACGATGATCGTGGCTGGTCTTCAGATTGCGGGTTCAACGCTGTTCCAGCCGGCCGAGCATGCCGGGGATCGCCTCCATCGGGGGGCATGTCCACGCTCTCTGATGCGGGACGCTTTTCTTCTGTTTCCTTTATTTCTCTTGTATTCCCTTCTCCACCTCCTCTTTGATGTGCGCCGCTAATACTTGGCGATTCTCTTCAGTAAAGCTGCGGAGGTCGAGGGCTTCCATGATCTACTTCTCTAGCCGAACCCTTTTATAGCTAGCCTCACCTCGGGATCCCGTATGGTATCACACTAGCGTGTTAGGATGATCCGAACTGGGGGTAGCTTGTCGCAAGACGTGTGTTGAATAGGGTGTCGGCAACTCGGCGAGCTCGCGCCAAGGAGGAAAAACGTGTTGGGTTTGTTGTATAAACTTCTTCTTCACATGAACACATGAACTGCACGCACACGCGCACGCACCATCAATGAGGGGGCGACGCAGTATACAACAGGGGCACCATACACACCCTGGAGATATATTCCACGTACCACACAATCCTACGGTATTCCGCGCAACATCAGTCAATGGGACACATTCCGTATCACCCACTTGGCATTGCTACAAGTGTATCTTGTATCGGTCGTTGTATCGTTCTGTCCGACGGTGCTCGGTACGCACCTGCACGTGTTCAATCCTCGGTCAGCTCTTGGCTCGCACGAAGCTGCTGCTTTTCGGCGGCTTGCGGTGAAAATCCTACCAGTCGTCGTTGAGGCCGCGACTCGGTAGCACTTACTTGCACGTGCGTAGTTGTTCTTGGTTGGCGCGAAGCCTTGGCTTGCGGTAAGAATCCCATCAGTCTGCACTCTTTGCTCGCACGAAGGTTTGGCGGCTTGCAGTGCTGCTCCTTTCACTCGTTGTGTCGTTCTATATTTCCGACTCCGGTAGCACTTCACCGTGTGTAGCTAGCTCGCTAGTCTTTAGGTCAGGGAAGCCGGCACGTTTGCGACTACCGGGCATCGTTTCAACGTGTGTTTTAGAGCGAAGCGAAACAGAGACGTACGGCAGCAGCTCTCGCCGGTCGTGATGGCTCGGTCGCCTTATCGGCGACGATGGACGCAGCGGCTGACCCCCCTCGCTTGTGTGTGTGCGTTTGTGCCCTTGCTTAAGCAGGTTTAGCCGTCCTTGTACCGTGTCGCTCGTGGGTAAGACCTAGCAAGTCACGACCGTCCACCGCCCACCCCCACCGCGACGGCCCGAGCTTGCGAGAAGAAGGACGACAAGGTACCGCCGCCGCCGCCGCCGCCGCCGCCAGGGAACCAAAGGCGAGAGGGGGGGGTCCAGGTCTACAACACATGTAGACCAGACAGAGTAGTACGGTGTTTCGTCGAGAGGTAGACCCAGGCTGGTTTCCCGGCAGATGTCGAGAGATTCAGGCTCGGATTTCTGATATTTCTGTGCAGATGTCGAGAGATCGGGACCACCTCTGGTTTCTGGTTTCTGATTTCTGGGCAGATTTCGAAATCGGGACCTCTGATTTCTTGGCACATGTCGAGGAGATGGCGCATCCTATACATGTCGAGGAGATGATGTCGAAATCGGGACCTCTGATTTGATATAGACTATGTGCAGCTTGTAGATTGATTTCTCGGCAGGCAGACGGCTAGTCTTGCTCCTTCGGTTGCTAGCACGCACGCAGTTAGGATAGTCAGTTTTTCCTACCTGCCTGCCTTCCCTGCCGGCCTACCTTGCTTGTCGGCCTTCGTGCCTGCCTTCCTGCCTGCCTGCCTGCCTACCTTGCCTGCCTGCCTGCCTGCCTGCCTGCCTGCCTGCTTGCCCGCCTGCCTTGCCTTCCTGTCTCGCCTGCCTTCGGGGAAAGTGCGTGGAAAAACCTCAAGTAGGCAAGAAACCCTGTTTCCTGGACCAGAAATGAGCCCGTGATATCGCTATGGGCGGGCTATCTCGCAAGCAATTTCTTCTTGACTTCAATATCCTCACAGTCGTTGTATCGATCATTTAGGCAACGCTCGGGAGCACTTGCATGTGCGCAACCCGCTTCCTTTTTGCTGGGAATCCGCCTCGTTTTCTGCTTTCGCGCTTCATCCCTAGCGGGTGAAAGAGAGAGTTGGTCCACGCACCGGGTCGCCCCGCCGCCGAAAGGTTTTCTGTTCGAGAACAACATTTTGTCCCTCGATCCAAATGTAACCGTTGGTCCTCCCGCCGGTGCGTTCTGTTTTGAGGGGGTGGACGCAAAGCGTGTGGGGGCATTGCCCAATCCTCAGGCGGAAATGCTCTCGCTTACTCAACGCGGTATCACTTTTCGGGTGGAGAGGCCCGACCCACATGCATCCGAGAGTGATCGGCACAGTGGTCAGGAAATGCCGCCGTCAGCTCGGCGACCGAGACAGCATCCAACCGGAGCAGCATTGTTTCCTGATTCTCGGGGACATGTGCATAGACACAGGTATATCAACGGCTTCTTACGTTCGGGCGAGGCTCGCGCAAAATTTTGGCGTGTGTCTCTCGCGGGTGATGTAGAGCATATTGTCGTGTCCGTTCATGGCGTCACGCCCTGTTGTTGGAATTTGGGCCCAGAGACGTTGGTTATCTCGCTGACAGTGGCACCTTTCATTGGTCGATCGGCAAATGCGGTCAACGCTAACAGAAACGACAAGCACACAGAGAGACACGCACCCACACATGTTCAGCTCTTGTTGGCGGACCTGGATATGAATTTCACGCTCGAACAGGCGAAAGAGGTGCGCGAATGTTCAGTTGTCTCCCAGGGTAGCACGGAGAGAAGTAGGGGGATTCCCAATTCGCCTCTCGAAGGAGTTCGAAAACTCATCTTTTTATCTCGAAATAGGACGGGAAAGGACTGGGTCGTTCACTCCTCCTTCTCGGGCGACGGGGAGCAGCCAGTCTTTCATCACCGCAGCTATTCGACACAAACGTGGCATTCGAACTGGGCTTGTTCATCGAACAAACGCTCGAGGAAGATGGCTAAGTTAGTCAAGTGCTTCATTCCCCACAATCGTTTCCAAGTAGCATCCTCTACATTTCAACCCCCCCCCCACCTCTGAAAACTGAACAGACCTTTTATGTGAAGGGTTTTCTAGGCAACCGCAAGTTCCTTAGCCTTCGCCAGTCAGTCAAAAAGATCCCATGGACTCACCACATGACAGAGAACAAAAAAGACAAAACGGCACAAACGTGGTGAAAACACCCGCACACGAAAACAGCGAAGGGGCAAAACTGAAAAAGGTAAACAAGACGGCGTCAAGCGTTGCTCGTCATGATACGTCGAACTCTCAACACGCCTCAGGCCACACCCCAACTCCCTTGGGGCGGTCAAGTCGATGCACTCACGAAATTCGAAAAAAGCAAAAGCACTTCTTCCTTCTTTACAAGCCCCGGCTTAGCCCGTACTAAGCAGGAGCGATTGGAACACATAATTCGAACACGACACAGTAGGTTATATCCCAATATGCATAAAGCGCCTCCTCTATGGGAACACGGTGGTCAATGATCAATGATGATGGATGTGCCCCGCGCACGCTCTGTGGCTTTCCAACGCCTAGGGCATGCAAGACCCAAACGACGTTCCGTCCTAGCCCCATACCTCCACTATCGAACCAAAACACACACAAGAGGGTAAGCAATCACACCCGACAGGGGCAGTGTGGTAGGACGGATGAACCACCCTTTCTCGCACTAGAGAGTTCACTCACCACGCGCGTTACCGTCACTCTCCCCCCCGCCCGTGCCGCAAAACCTCATCCAAACCTTTTGCGCTAGAACGCGCTCAACAAAGCGCGTTATTGTGGCTTCCCTCGCCCCACGTGCTTCCAAACCTACCCCAAAAACTACATGTTGAAGCAACAATCGCCGAACAACTTGACGTTGCATGTACATGCACCGGTCTGGCTCTTGGCGAACCTGGTACGTCCGCAGTCATGGGAACAACTTACCACGAACCCCACCACCACCGTCTTTGCAGTGGGACACAACAGTGCCCAAACCGCCTCCAAATGCCCGACAATGAATACCAACACCACCACCATACGTCCTCTGCCTCTACTCCCACCACCTCTGCTCGCGCGCTCACTTTGTCGTACCATGCCTACGACCGGAGCATTTACTTGCCCACCATCCCTCCCCCGACTGAACATTAGCCCGAAATAAACCCCACCATACAGCGAGGGCAAAGCTGTAAGGATCGTCTGTGTCGCGGAATTTTGCTCTCTGCCGCACGTCAACTATTTGCACCGAGCCCGGTGGGGGAACGCCTCGTGCGACGCACCACAAAAGCAACGCGCGCCACTGTTGTTGTTGTAGAACTGCGACACTGCTGTACATGTAGTCTAGCTTCAATACCTCAAAAAGACATCAAAAACAAACACAAACAGACAAAAGTCCCGCGCCCCTAAAAGGAAACTACGGCGTTGCACACCGGGGTAACCAAAGCACCACCGAAGCAAAAGCAGCACTTACTCTTGTCACAGTCACTAGAGATCTTCTCTACCATCTCCATCGAACACTAACGTCGCCAAGAGCCATCCCGTGTTTAGCAAGGCATCCGGGTGCGCGGGAAATCCCTCAAAAGCTCTGCGCATACAACATTGTTCTCGAACAATCAAAGGCAGCATTGGACAACGCGCAGTAGTTGATTGTATATCCTAACAATGATGACTCACCAGTTGAAACAGCATCGCCAGACTGCTGTACGTCTGCCCACAACGGTCCCCCAATCAAGGCAGCAAGAGCTCAATATTCCCCTCAATACTCTATAATACCTGATACCGCCGAACATCCTACAAAATAGCGATCGAGCATGCACCCCGCCCCCCGCCTCCCTCAAAACAACACCACGGTATGGCAAACCCCTGCGATGTCAAAGACCGGCAGAAGCGCCAAAAGCCCTCTTTTCTCTGCTACTATCAGACTAAAGGTTGAAAGACGTTTGACATATTCACTCCGTCTGCTCGTCAGAGGCCCCATCGGTATCCGCTATATCACCACCCTTGTCACCCCCCCCCACCGTAGAATCTGCCTGTTCTTGCCCGAGCACCGGGGCCAGCCCACCCCCCGCCGCCGGAAGTTCACGCGAGTTGGGATCGGCGGCGTCGTCCTCAAATATTTCGTTGCCGCCCTCCTCGGCTGCATCAGCCTCCGGCCCCGGAATCTCACACGAAGCAGGCGTGCTGGTGCTGGCGACGGAGCTGGTTTCGGGGCTGGCGGAGCTGACGCTGGCGGTGTCGGCGGTGGTAGCCGTGTCCGGGGTCGTGCTGGTGGTGATCGCGGGGGCGCCCTTGTGCAGCGTCCTCGTCCAACCGTCCCCGGTGCGGCAGAGTTCCAGCGTAGGCCTGGACAGATTGACAATTTGGTCGGGACCACGCAAGGACGAATAAATTGGCAGTTGGGGTAGGGGGAACATGAGCAAACACGCCTCCGCCGCCGCGAGTCAAGTTGGCCGGGTGGACGAACGTCTCTCTCGGCAGCTACTAAATAGCTAGGTGTGAGTTTGAGATAGGAGCCTGCGTATACGTGCCGCATCCCGACATCGACAGGGGAGACACCAGCCGCAGCCGCGAGGGTGCGCCAGTGGGGTAAGCGACGGACTCGGCACAACGAGCACAATGGCGGAGGTGCCGGCGGCACGGCTACGGCCTACAATAATTCCGTTTTCCGCATAGTCGGTCGCCTCAGCGGGGACATGCGCGCTTGAATGGACCTTAGTTTCTTGATGGCGGCAAGATAATACGGTCGGCGGTGAAACCTAGACAACATTGCTCGCGAAACGCCGATGTGTGTCTCAAGCAACCAAGAGAGAGTGAGAGCTTCACGAACAATCACGCCTCCTCAAACCGAAACCCCGGTTGACGTACCAGTAGTGGTGGTCCGTCCGGAGTGTCGTAACCTCCACCTTGGAATCTAGGCCCACCTGACCAACAAGACAGGAACGAGAGACGAGCTACAGGATGAGTTAGATCACACAGAAAACCGGCGACTCTCAAAACGGTTCCTACCCATGTCTGAGGCTTGGTCAAGGCCGGTCGACAAGAGCAAGGAGCATATGCAAAGGTTCTGAGACGTTCTCTAGTCGATGTTGACGCTGGCGGCTCTGCAGGCGGACGATACCTCTCGAATGTTTTGCGCCACGTAATCAATCCTAGATGACACACATATATTCCGAGCAAATTTCTCCCTCTGTCTGCCTGCCTGTCTGTCGCCCTCTCTCTCTGTCTCTCCCTCCCGCTCTCTCTCTCTCTCTCTCTCTCTCTCTCTCTCTCTCTCTCTCTCTCTCTCTCTCTCTCTCTCTCTCTCTCTCTCTCTCTC